CAGAACTTTCCAGAACCTTTCGGTTCTCGGGATGTCTCCCGGCCCTGCACGGGGCTGACCCCATTCCTGCCCCAAAGCCAGGCGCCCGCTCGCACCCACAGACGGGGCGAGTTTCCCGAATACCGCACTTTCCCTCTTCCTCCGGGACCCCGACCCTGGCCCTAACCCTGACCCAAAGGGAATGAGCAAGCAGAGCCCCTTCCCTTTACTTCTCCGCCTGCAGATGTGATGCCTCTTCCTTCTTTTCTTATATTTTTCTATTTAAAATGGTCTCACTCTGTCCCCCAGGCTGCAGTGCAGAGGCGTCATCACAGCTCACTGCAGCCTCCAACTCCTTGGTTCAAGCGATCCTCCCGCCTCAGCCTCCGGAGTAGCTGGGACTACAGGTGTGTGCCAGGACACCCGGCTAATTTTTCTGTTTTTTTGTAGAGATAGTGTGTGTTACCCAGGCTGGTCTCGAACTCCTGACCTCAAGCCATCCTCCCACCTCGGCCTCTCAGTGTGCTGGGATCACAGGCGTGAGCCACCGTAACCGGCCTAATTCTGTCTTTTTTTAAGACTAAAGTCCACCTTCCCCACCTCAAGGAGCTCGGTGTCCGGCTGCAACCCAGACTTTTCCAGTTGGAGGTGCAGCAGCAAAACGAGCTCAGGCTGCTTGTAGCTTCTTCACTATTTCACGGGTGGAAGATGTGTTTCTCCCGTAGCTCTTAGCAACCTCAGAGTAGGATTTTTTTTTCCCCTTTCTTTTTTTAAGTTGCGAACTTTCTCACCTTCTCTAAAGGAAGTGCTTCCCGGCTTGGCGGTGGCATATCCGAATTTTGCCAGCCTCACTCCTCTTGGGCTTGGGGACCATTATTAAGTGAAATAAGGGTTACTTGAGATGCTGGGCGTCTCGAGATTCCATCACACGACTCAGAGCAGTGTACAATTCAAAAATTAAGAAATACTTATTTCTGGAATTTTCCATTTAATAATTTCAGACCATGGATAACTGAAACTGATGGAACGTAACCTGCCAATAAGGGGAGACTACCGGCCCCACTATTTGTTACATAACCCAGAGGGAGAGTATCCCGTGTCAACATGTGGAAGCAGGGTGGGTTTCGTAGCCCTGTGACCTGAGTCTACACACAGGTCCCCTGCTGTGGAAACGGTTCAGATAAGGGGTTTTCATTGGAACAAGGGCCCCTGTGGTTTTGTGGTGTGTGCGTGGCCCAGCCAGGCATGTCACCGGCCCTGGGTGGAAATGGTGTATCAGATCGAAAAATAAAACTGAGGGCGGGTGTTACATCTTTCCCGAGTTTTGGGCTTCTGAGGGTCCTCTAATCTGGCCTTGGGGCTCTGACTGAGTCGCAGGCAGGGAGAGAAGGAGCTGGATGCCTGCGTACCAATTTATCAGCCTTTGTTTACCTAAAGCTTAGAGCTGCTTGGAATTGGGGCTGGCCAAGACGTACTGGACTCTTCCACGGTGCCCTGCGGCCTCCAGGAACCAGAGACAGCTCTTTCTCTTGTGTTCTGGGCTTCTTATGTCAACCTGGCCAAAGGAAGGGGGGTGGTAATTGAATGTCTGTAAAACTCCTTCTGGGGACACGGCCAGCAGTAGGGCCCGGTTTAAGCTGGTGGTTGTAGCCGAGTGTTAACAAGGGCAGGGGATGGTCAGGGTTTCTAGTGTGGTCCCCTTATGGCCTAATTAGGGACTTGAATGGGTTGGAACATGGGTAGAGTTTCAGTTCAGAGGCTATTTTGATGTTACAGTTCAATCACTTTAGAAAATATAGATTTAGTCTCGGTTCAGGCTGGCTCACTGGGTGTGTGTCTCTACGTTTTAAGCTTTGATTTAGTTCATGGTTCAGGAACAAACTTAATACATTTTTCACCCATCACCGAATTAACAAAGATGAGAGAAACAATAGCTTGGCCCCCGTGCAGGGCGTCAGAGAGGCTGAGGTAGTAACACGGGGCTGCCGGGGGCTGTGAACTGACACCTTTCTGAAAAGCGACTTAACGTTATCTGTCAGAGGCCTTGAAAATATTCAGACCCAGCAATTTCCGCTTCTAGGGGTTTATCATAAGGATAATAATCAGATGGGTACCAAGATTTAAGTGCAGGAGTGGAAACTGCATCTGTATTTACATTAATATGGAAAAATCAGGAGTCCCCTCAATGGCCAACCGTAGAGGTTTCGTGAACTAAAATGTGATGGGAACAGTTTTTGGCAGTGTCTTGCGTAACGAGAGAAATGCATGTGACAGGTTTCCAGTAGACAGGGACATGTTTTAATTAAAGCAGTAACTGGCTTGCAAGCGGGATGGATCCTACAGAAGGCTGTTCTCACAGCGACCTGCCAGTCCTTTATGCTGCTTTAGAAGGACACCCTTCATTGCAACAGCGAATCTCGGTGGTTGAAGATCTACATTCTTTCTTTAAACGGTGTTTGAGTGACTGCTTGGTGGCAGGGACTGGGCGTATGATGGTGAGAAAAATAGCTCTTAGGGAACTGGCAGACTGACGGAGTAGACGTTTAATAAAATAATAACGTTCGTTTAAGCACCTCCCGTTGGTACGGGTATAAATACTTTAAAAGTATTAATTTATTGAAGGCAGAATCCTAAAATGTTGGCCTAATAATTAGCCTCACTGTTTTGGCTGTTCCTGCCTAACTAACCACCCCAACGCCTTTGAGGGCCACAAAGTTTATTTGCTCTCAGTTGTGCAGTCTGGACTTGGTTGAGTGGCGTGGTTCTCCTGCCGGTTTGGGCGTGGTCACGTGCGCTTGTGTTTAACTGCTGGCTCTGCGGAAAGTGGGACAGCTGTGCTCGTGTCTGTCTTCACGGACTGTCAGGGCCGGGGTCTGTCCTCCGGCTCGCTCCGCAGGGTAGCTGCTGGAGGTTCCCAGGAACCAACAGCGGAAACTCTGGGGTCACCCTTCAGGAGGAGCCACTGGCACCAAAGCACATCCGCTGTTTGCTCTTGGTTAAAGCGAGTCACCAGGCCAGCTCGGATTTCAGGGGCAAGGATGATACCGGAGACATGATTCTTGGCCATCGCCCACAGACAGCCATGCCCATTTTACAGACAAGGAAACTGAGACTCAAGAAGGTTCAGTCCCTTGTCCAAGGCAGAGATAAGATCTGAAACGGGAACAAGGCCCACACTGCTAATCATTATATGGGAAAATACATACAGGCTCTGAATAAGTCAGCACAGGAGAAGTGGGGGGAGTGGGGAGAATAACAGACAGACACCCTCATCTGGAAGGGGGAGATTGAGGGCGTGATATTTAACCTTGAAACCTGGAGTCTGAATGGGGCGGAGGCTGGAAGAGAACTTCCAGAGCTTAGGGAGCTGTGCAAAGGCCCTGCGGTGGCCAAAGGACCAACTCCTCAGGAGCTAAGAGCAAACTGGCGGC